AATATGTAAGGAAATCTAAAAATAAAATTAATGATAGTAGCGATAGTGATAATAATAATAATATCATTATTATTAATGACGACGACACCAACAATAAGGAATCTAAATCATCATTGGTAATTCCATACAAGGAAGGAACCTCGGAAACCACCTTACGCCGGAGAATTCTTAACAAGGCAGGCAGGAATAAAAGTGACTGGAATTCAAACCAACCAACCAACCACAAACTCAATTCGAAACAAGCTTCGTTGGTTAAAGGATCAATCTTGTGGAGCCTTTAAAATAAAACAATTTAGTTTATCTAATACACTGCCTGCTGGAATGATTGTGTGTCAGGTCAAATACGTAGGTCAAACTAGTAGAACTGAGGTCAGTCAGTCAGACTAGCGGAACATGAAAACCTAGCAGTGAAATCTAGAGAATAGTTCAGCTATACCACTCACTATATGCAACCACATACAACCATATAATAGGCTGGATGGGATAAGATGACAGTTTTAAAATCTGATGCAACTAACAGGGTGGAGGGAGAGATTGATAACAGAGGCTTTGTTTATCGAATCAACTGACAGTGAATACGTGTAATAGGAATGATTCATCACCTGTCCTCTCAGATATCTGGAGAATTCTACTACCACGTCTACGATGACAAATAGGAGAGGACAAAGAAGACTATAAAACTCAAGTTTCGAAGTCGTGTGATTATAATTGATGAAGGGATTATGAACAATGCGTAAATTTTGTTGTAAACTTTGTCATCCAGTAAATACTAATACTGTTTCACTGACGACTGTGTGATACATCTAATAAACAAACTAATATGGAATTACTTACTACTACAGTGATCAAATTTTAGACATATAATAATAAGACTGCTGCAGATTTCCATTAACAGCTGTATCTGACCTACACTAAAGATCAGATGGTACAGCTAGAAAGCATAAGGAACAAAGGAAACTGGTATCGAACCAATCAAGACCTTATTTCCCGCCCAACAAATATACGGAGAGAAATGGAGATGCACTGGATATACACTGAGAAGACTATTGAATGATATCACGCGCCAGGCGGGCGCGTGGAGTGAAACCCACATGAAAAGGGACGAGTTGGACGAGTATAAAAGCGACATGGAAGAGACCATGTGAGGAGGAAATAAAAGCTTGTGGGTAATCATGCAGGCGGCTAAACACAACACTGCAGAAAACACAGGGAAATGCAGATGTCCTTTGCTGAAGCCCTATGTTCCTCTTGGAACTTAAAGGGAATAATAATAATAATAATCCGGTATTTGGTCCATTTACATTATATAATTTGATCTCCACCTAATGATACGATTCACACTAAGATAGGTGAGGCAGGTCCGGAAACAGGAATGTAATCACTGGGGAAAATCAAGCGATAAAATGAAGAGAGCTGCAACTGCATACTGCAATTAGTATTTCTATATATTCTTCGCTTATAGAAACTGCACTCGTTTTTTTGACACGTATTATATCAACAGCTAGACATTTAATGCGCTGACGATATGAATTGATTAGTTTATCCAAAAACCTTACTACACTTTGATTGTGGATACTTCCACCGGGGGTCGTGAATGTATTATACGCTTGTTTTTGCTTCTTTCCTGAACTTGAGACTGTTGACTGTCGTCCTAAAAGCTATTACAAACCCCTTTATCAAGGCGTGTAGAGCCTAGTGGCATGTTTATCAACGGAGTGACTAAACAGGTTATTATAAAAACTCCATTCACAATGTAATTTCCAAATACCCCGTTGGTGTTGGTATTTGTCAAACTGCTGAACTAGGCAAATGCCTAGTAGGGCAATGAAAGCTTTGCAGATTAACAGTGCAGCTCAGAGAACACAAAAAAAAATCCACATGAGCTACAAATCTCCTCCATCATATCTGAGTAAATAATTATGGTTAGGCTAAGTACTTTTTCAAGTGATGGTTTGTAGGGATTTGATTGGTTACAGGATTTCATCATGAGTTGATATTAGTTAGAGAACCATTGGAAAACCTGGGAGTACTGGACAGCTGTTTCGTCCTAGTGTGGGACTCTTCAGCAGTACGCACCCACCGGGATTCGAACTCCCAGTACTCAAGGTTTTCCAATGGTTCCCTAACTAATGTCAGCTCATGATGAAATCCTGAAACCAATCAAATCCCTACAAACCATCACTTGAATACCCATGAGATGCTCACTGGCGACTGGCCCTATTCAGGTAGGTAGTTACCTGGGTTCCAATGGGAAGTTGTGATCAGTAGGGTGCAGCAGGTCGGGTGTGAGGACAAATACTTGCCGAAGGCATTGGCTGGGGTCGCGCTATGTCGTGAATTGGCAGAAGTTAGAATTCAAGGACCATTGGATCGGGTCCCAGTGGCTTAATGGTATACGAGCTCGCCTTGTAACCGGAAGGTCCTGGGTTCGAATCCCGGTGGGGGCGTACTGCTGAAGAGTCCCAAACTAGGCTGAAGCAACAGCTGTCCAGTACTCCCAGGTGGTTTACCAGTGGTTCTCTAACCAATGTCAGCTCATGATGAAATCCTAAGTACTTTTTGTTTCAATTCATTTGAGCGAAATGTGGTCTTACCATGCGTGGCGTATGCTGCAGTTCCCAAAGTGTTCCTTATAAAGTTACATTAGGTTATATAGAGTTCAACATGTAGCTTATCGACTTAAGTAATCTCAGTAACTGGGTTTCGTGTTCAAATTCTGTTAATCATCCCATCCACTGGTCTGGAAAAATTCAAGAATCTATGAATTCTGACTTCTGTCAATGTGTGATACAGTGCAACTGTCACTAACCGATAAGCATATCCTTTATCTTGATACTGGTGGTATCGGTTAATGAGTTAGAGACTGTTTCCTGGGAACTTTAAGTCACAGGGTTAGAGCAATAATCAACAAGCGATGGGAGTTACAGGATTTCATCATGAGCTGACATTAGTTAGAGAACCATTGGTAAACCAACTGGGAGGACTGGACAGCTGTTTCCCGCGTCCTAGTTTGGGACTCTTCATCAGTACGCACCCACCGCCAGGGTCCGAACCCAGGCACCTTCTGGTTACAAGGTGAGCTCGTATACCATTAAGCCACTGGGATCCGAAACAGCTGTCTAGTACTCCGTGTTAGTTTTCCAATGTTTCTCTAACTAATGTCAGCTCATGATAAAATCCTGTAACCAATCAAATCCCTACAAACCAATACTTGAATAACTGATGGGAGTAATAACTTATAGGTAAATGAACGCCAATCCAATGGCCAACAAGCAAACCTCATAACTTGAAGGTCCTGGATTCGATTAGTAGTAAGGTCATGGAGTTTAGAAGAGTTCCAAATAGGACGAAACAGATACTCAAGGCTCCTGGATTTCCTATTGTTCTTTAATTCTCGTTGATTTGCGAAAAAAAAATAGATTCGAATTATTCTTAATTCCTACAGAATCTTACACTCTGAAAAATCTCTTTAAATGACAGTTAATCCATCTCATATGTGTAACCTAACGACTTAGCTTATCAAACTGAAAAAGTCTGGAGAACAATTTCGAGTTGAATTTGAATAACTACGTCTAACTTTTACCAGTTGTGATGTCTTTTCATCATACAGCAAAATAACCCGTACGATTCAAATGAGAGTCAATCAGAAATAGATGCAGATGATAGCTGAGGATTTGAGATTAGGAACTATCAGCCAGGAACCGGGAACAACTTCAGGTAAGTAAGTGTACACAGAACATCTTAGAGATTTATTGATAATCTGTCTGTGTTTTCGACATAGAACTTTGCACCGATGTGCACCAGTTCAAGTCACCAAACTCAATGTAGCACACAAAGCAAGAGGAGAAAGTAGAAGAAATGCATAATAGAGACAGTAAACAGAGGTGTGAGACAAAGGAAGAGTAATAATGAAGAACAATATAGTTTCATTGGAAATCATAAGTCACAAGGAGTGGATGCATCTGCGCTAGCCATTCAGAAGGATTTTGAGCCATATCACCAATTATTTCCAACCACTGGTTATAACCGTCCCGAGGACCCCAACCAGTCAGGAGGTCTACACCTCCCTACATGGCTCGCTTAAACTAACTGTTTTGGATTTTACTGACTGATGAAGCCATGTTTTGGTGTGACCAACACTAACTATTTTCCAGCCTGACCTTATGTCAGCCAACATTGCCCGTCAAGGAAGGAGATGACTAGGCCAGGCAAGCAAAACACATGTCCTAACCATCTCAGTCGACATAATTTCACAGCCTCGTCGATTGATTTCCCCTCCCACCTACCTAGCACTCGACGCCTAACCTCAATATTGTTCACACTATTATACCACTTCACACAGGATGTAGATAGAGCGCAAACACCTATGATCAAAGACAGCCAGGCTTTTCATGTCTTCCAATTTCAATGTCCATATCTCACTGACAGCCACAAAGGAGGACAGAGCGAACTGCTGAGCAGTACACACGCCCTTCGGTTGACAGCTGGATATCACGCCTACGCCACAGACGGCGTAAACTGACATATGCGAAACTAACCCTCTGAATCCGTACTGAGATTTCGTCAGAGATCAACTCACTGGTGTTGGCTGATGCAACTTCCCAAATAAGTGAAACGGTCAACGTGCTCTACCACTTCACTGCCTATTTCTAAACTAGGAGTCAGTGTAGTCCAGTCCTGTAACATCATCTTACATTTGGCGGGAGAGAGTCGCATGCCAAACATTCGTAGATTGCATCTCAAGGTGTTCAGAAGATACTGATAATGAAGGGAAATGGTGGGATGTTGGGTAGGTGTCATTCGAAAACTAGTGTCTTCAAAGTAAAACTATAAGGCACACACACATACACAATAACACTGAAAGATTATGAACTAGGCGCTAATCTACTCATCAATTATCATCTTAAATAACAAGAAGACAGACAACACATAATCAATAATAGAGTTTACACAATCAATCAATAAAAAAAAATCAATAACCTTTTTTTCTTTCCTCTTACCTTGAGCAGATATAAATGCATTTGCATCAATTGCTTCATCGACTAGTACTCGCATACGTTCAGCTGTATCACTCCAATGTTGACGCATCATAAGAAAATGATCTGATGTAGCTTGTTTTAAACTAGCCCCACCTAATTGTAGCTGAACACTTGGATCACTCGACAGGACAACAGCACGACCAGCTAAGACAACTTGTCCACCTAATTCATTCAGTTGACTGGCTAAATAACGTAGAGCATCTGCACGCCAAACATCCGATAGGGTAGTGCATGCAGCTAATTCAGCTGTACTAACAAGTTGATTACATTGAGCCTAGAATATGTGGAAAATGAAAACAATTAAGGAAATGAGTGAAAATAACAATGTCGAAATTTATGGCAGCTTTCGAGATGAACAGACATATCCAGTTAGAGACATATACAACACAGAATAGTGATTTATTAGTTTTTCTTTTCTTCACGTTCCCCAGTGGAACATAGGGTTTCAAGCTAGTGGCTGGAAGTTTCTGTAGCAGTGGTGATTATTTTTACAGGATATGGTTACTAGCCTCATGCCCAGTCAACCTCTCCTCTTTACCAGCCTTATTAATGGTTTAGAGAGTTAGAGGATTGCGCCGGCCGGGGATGGAACCCCGAACCATGTGCATGGTCGGCGAGCGTCCTAACCACTATGCCACCGACGAACAAATTCACACAGTGATACACTTATTGACTGGGTATGGGTTTTCAGGTGAACCAAAACACACCCATCCCTGCCTCTTGCGAGACGTGACCGGCATGCAGGATCATCCTGTGGCGCAATCACTCGAGAGCCCTCTCCCTCGGTGGACCGATTTATTAGTGTTTGACATCAAATACGTGGGACAGATGTTCGGTACATTAGATTTAAGCACTCAGTTTCCAGTCAGTTGATCACAGGTTTAAGTCCGGTTCCGCCTACTTCACAGCCTGGGCAACTAAATAGTACTGTCAACCTTCACATGACAACTGTTACTCAGCCTAGTACTTGTGAAATGTGGTCGTCTAGGCGCTCAGCTTCCGATTAGAGGGTGTCTACGGATTCGAACCGCACTCTACCTACCGAGGTTTGGGCAGCTAGGTAGTATAACTAGTCCTAACTCATGGCATTACAAGTGGCTACTGAATAAAGCGTAAGGTATGTTCCAGGTAGTTAAGCGCAACAGTTCAACACAACCTGCAACAGATTTCTTATATAGCCGAATGAAAGCTACACTTACATTGTGAGGGTTGATTATTTATTTATTTAAACGCATAAAAAACTTGGTACAATATGGCACCAAGAAGGATGCGCCACACAATAATAATAAAACATAGATCAAAAGGAAAAGAGAAAGAAGAGAAATATATATATAAGTAGAGAACAGATAAAGAACTTCATCTGGAAGGAAAACAGTCATACTTAACAAGTTCAAACAGTATTCGTTAGCTATCATCGGGAAGGGAAGAAAATAGGAAATTGCACGTTCGCCATTGATTACGATTTTTGGCCATATCCAATAACGTTTCGAGCCATCGATTTGAGCTATCTCTCTCAGACTCCAACCAGGGAGTCGTGACACACCGACCGATGATAATCTAGCACAAACATCCTTCGTCCCACGACACCACGTCGTGCACTGACCACCTCTCCGCCTTTTCCATCCCGTCCCAGGGCTGGCTAGCGAACAGAGACCTGTACGGAAGCCTTTAGGATGACATTCGAAGCACATGTCCAAGCCACCGGAGCCGGTGTTTCCAGATGACGGCACTCAATGAATGGTGATCTCCACTGTGTTCAAACACACGCCACTGAACCTCAGAATTACTCACGCTATGATGCCGTCAAACACAAGCAATCCTGCGGAGACAGTGATGATCGAACATGCAGAGTCGCCTCACTTCCTCAGCCTACTCGGAGAGGCCAGGTTTCACAGCCGTAGAGAGAAACAACCCACATCGAAGCATTGTATACTCGGCCTTTGACAGCTACGCTAACATTGCGACGGCGCTAGAGGTGGCTCAAGTTGATGTATGCCACCCTAGCCTTCATTATACGGTTGGAAATCTCATTCGTCATCCCTCCGCCAGCACTCACACAACTACCCAGGTACACAAACTTATCAACAACTTCAAGCGGTGAGTGAGTGCAGGTATAGGCCCCTGCCAATCTTGTAAAATTACTTTGCGCTTAGATGGCGCAAAGCACACACCATACTTACAGACACTGATGATATGATGATATTACTCAGCTGTGAGAATCAAATCCATCATTCATCGACTTAACAAAACGAGTGTTAAAGTCAATGAGTGACATCAACCTAAATTCATACAACCAACTATGACTACTTTATTAGATATCTGTGTGCATTTCAATCCTTTTAAAAAGGAATCAAACTGAGTCCTATAAAATCACTTCAAAATCAATAGATATTAAACTTACAAGTTAAAATGTATAGGAAGATGCTAAATGTCAGTTTTCTTACCTTACTCTCTTCAGAGTTCTGTTTTATTAATTTCCCCACAATGATAAATATATCATCATTACTTCCTAAAGTTATTACTCAACACACTTTCCGTTCATACCTTTCCAGTTGAAGTGAAACATACGGAATAAAGGCATTTTCGAAGTTTCACAGTAGCGGTGATCTTGCCTTTATGATATGAAGTCGCTAGCTACACGTCCTCCACCCCACCCTTCCACCTTTTCAGGCCTACTACCAGCTAATTCAGTAGGCTAAGTTTAGGAGTGCATCGACTAGGGGGTTGAATCCACACCTACCACCAAACACTACTAACTACAACACATAATTATATCAACTCATATATATATATATATATATATATATATATATAGATCACAAATCAGATTAGTAAACCTAATTTTAAGCTATATACGATCATTGTCAGAAGCATGAAATACAAATTATTATCAATATAAATTGAATTCTCTTCAATCAGAATAATATCTAAAGAATGTCTTCTGTTTGTTTTTTTAGTTTATAAACCAATAATTCATTTCATATCATTAAAACAAAATACAGATCAATTTAAGAAAAGTTATTTAATATTCTACAACTACATTCGAAATGAGCGCACATTAAGAAAGAATTTATTCCATGGACATATTTTTAACTTTATGTATGTATGTATGTATGTCGTGTATGTGTGTGTATGTATGTGTGTGACATGATACATATTATTACCCAAAGTGAATTATTACATAACAGTGCCACAAATAAAAACTATAAATAAATAAATAAATAGAGCAGATGACAGAGATAAAACTAGATATTATTCAAACAAATAATTTCTATATTGATTAAATAATAGTTAAATAATTTAGAATGTTGTTGTATATATAGGCTAATTAATTCAATTTAAGTTGAACAATGACGAACATAGATAGATAGAAAAGACGGAGGAGCTGAAGATAACCAACCCAACCCAACCCAACCAACACCACCAGTAACATTCATCATCCGCGGGGAAGATTTGACAGAGATTACTTCCTGCCTACACTTACTTATCTAGGAAGCATCATTTCAACTACAGGTGACACAGCACGGATGAAGATGTCAAAGCTAGCCAGCCAGCCAGCCAGCCAGAATCGGAAAGGCAAGATATGCTGTCATTAATCTGAAACCAGTTTGCAAATCTTTTGCATTCCGTCTCAGCACGAAGAACAAGATTTGAATTTTCAAGGCAAATGTGAAGTGTCAGGTCTTCTCTTATACGAGTCAGAAACTTGCAGTGTGTATTAGATGGTTGGAGGTAATCGGCCACAGGAAGCCTTGCCTGACCTAGGGGTTTTGTGCTAGTTGGCGCGCATCGTCAAGGCGAATCTGCAACCTTGAAGGAACTCATGTCCCTTGTGAGATTCGAACTCGTGTCACCCAGTGGGGCTGCAGTCAGAGACGTTACCACACTGAGCTATTCGGGCTAGCGATTGACCTCCTGTAGGACTGTAGTGGGTATTCGACACTAGTAACTAGTATGATGCGTCTAGTCCTCTGATTGGTGTAGACTGAGGACTAGATGCATCATATTAGTTACTAGTGTCGAATACTTGCAGTGTGTGCCACGAAAATGATTTCCAACAAGTTACAGACTTTTATAAACAGTTGACCGCTTTGCTGGATACACATTGAAGATCAAATGGCCGGCCGGCCTGCTAGAAAGAATTAGCAGCGCAAGAAACTGTAACTGGTAACAAACCAACAGGAGAGAGCTGATCGCTCAACAAATATGTAGGAGGAAATGGAGATAGACTGATCAGGCATACTTTGAGGAGGCCATCGAATGAAATAGCGTGCAGTGCAGGCCACCGCTCGAGTGGAACTCGAGTGCGAGGCACTGAGTGGGTCGTCAGTGCGAGGGTGAGATGGAGGAGGTAGGTTGGGTGGAGGAGGAGACAATCATGGTGCCAGCTGAAGAGGATAGAAAAAAACAGAGCTCGAGTGGGTCTTCAGTGTGAGGATAACATGAAGGAGATAGTTTAAAGAGGAGATGACAGATTCTAGACAATCGTGGAGCCACCTGAAGAGGATAACAGAAAATAGAAAAAAGTGGAGATGTGTTGTTGAAGCCCTATGTGTTCCACTTGGAATCCAAGGACATACTGATAATAAATAACAGTGTCATGTTAATTAGAGAATCATTGAGGACCGGTGAGTACTTGATAACTGTCACTTCTTGGTGTTACGGGAAAGAAGACTATTCTCCCACTGCCCCGCCCACTGTCTGTCGCATTATCCAATCTACCGCTCGCAATCAGGAGAATCATTGGCGATAGTAGGCAACCAGCCTTGTCTTACTCACGTCTTCAATTCTTCGAAGGATTCCGTCAGTTTCCTGTTGTGGATTACTTGGCATACATACAGCATTGTCGTACAACTGTTGGATGAGATGTAGAATTGTCGGTGGCACCCCTTGGTAGTAGCGAAGTAGTTACCAAATCACCTCTCGATCGACTTATATATATACGTCTAAAAATAACATTAACAACTAGTGTAACAAATTTGGCAAACGAACAGTCCAACAAGGGAGCAAGAGAAAAAAACAGAAACTAAGTGGAATACGAAACCGTGTATAAAAAAATAATGTTCCAACAACATGTGTGTGCGTGTGTGTATGTGTGTATGCATACATGCATGAGTGTCTGTCTGAAAACACACACTTCTGCTTTGGTAAAAATGTCAGATTTTATATTTTTGATATATATTTGAACCACGCGTTATTTTCTTCTTTTTTTTTTACTTTTTACTTTCTCTCCAAGTATACGTGCATGTGTTTGCGCATATACATAGGCCACCGATTACACAACATGAAAATTAATCATTTCAGCCAAAAACACTTAGTAAATGTAATCACAAAAAATAAAAACATATCGCGCCAAATTAATGAATATCAAATGATCTCAAACGGCTACTTTAGAGGCGATAATCACCAACTAATGTGTTGGTTGGTAGTCAGTACTGAAATACAATAATATACGATAATTGTGGAAAATGGTATATAGCTGTCTTTTGTTCGTCTGTCTGTCTATCATGCATTTTTACTAGAGAGTCAATAACCAGTAGGAAGTCTCAACTTGTTGACAGTTGTCAGTAGATTCACTTTTTGCACACACACACACACCTCACACAAACAACTTGGTAATGCCAATGATGGGTAGACTTCGATCTTCCTCTCGGAATGTTCTCATGTGGCTCTACGCGTTCATAGACTCTGTTAGGTAAGCTTTATTCACTGACTCCACATAGTGGAAGAGTTCTTCACAATGGTGAAAGGACGAATGAAAACGTTTTACGCTTACAATTAGACATGTTGGTCCATCTAGATTAGGATCTGTAGAGCCTTGATTCAAAATCCATCGTGTAGTATATGGACTGCAAAATTCCAAAGGACTGAGTGTCATATGAACTTGTTCTTGCCACTGGAAACCATGGGAACGTAGCCCCAGAAGCTGATCTAATGCCTTGTAGATCAGACTTTAAGTATAAAAAACTTGAGAGTGACCACTTAAAACAGCCATCTATTGTCTGGTTGTTCGAGCAGTGTCCCAGGCCTGGCACAAACTATGAGATTTTGTTTAAAGCATTCTTAGATATCCATTATGTACTAAATTTGTTTTTAATAATAACTCATTTTTTAGAAGATAAGAAACTGCATTACTCGGTATTAAGGATAGCCTGATCATTAGACTTGAGTCTCATCTATTTTAAGCGTGTAGATGATATAGTCCTTCTATAAGTGAAGCCAGAGCAGAGAGCCTATTAACCGCTGAAATATTGAAGGAAATGGAGATCAATGGACACTAGTTGAGTAGATCTTCATGTGACGTTACATGATAGGCCTTCAAGTGAAGATTGAATAGGGAGTAGCAACTAGTAGGGCATCCGTCCATGCGTGACATGAAGGAAATCTTGAGAAGATAAAATGAGAGCTTTTGGGTGGTCGTGAAGTCAGCTGACAGTGATAGCATAAAACTTAATGCGGTGGAGATGTTCCACTCAGAATAGAAGGATGGAACAATAACAGCCGAATCAAATGGTATCGATCTTTACATAAACTTTAAACAACTACATCATACATGGTACTAGACAGATGAGAAAGGAAAGATCAAATAGGACAAAATAACATACAAAGTTGTGGGCAGACATAAATCCAGTCATCCAGCTCTGATAGCCTTTAAGAGATTAACAATGATAGCAATACCATGTGTAATGACACTTTGATTTACTCGTCAAGGATATCAAATCAAGTGAAGGGAAAATAAACAAAAACATAAATGGATTACATTGCTCCTGGTCAATATTCTTTTCTACGGACTGTTAACACAAACAGTCAATAGTTTGACTGACTGCTCTGATGGCGTCATGGGTGTGTAATGTTGAAGAGTCCTAAACTAGACAAAAACAGCTATCCAATAACCCTTAGTTTTTAATGTATCTCTAACTGACATCAATCCATGATCAAAATTGATGACAAATTAGAGCGAAAACTGAACTTATGCGTGTCTGCCACTTCAAGTTCCTACAGGTCGATAAGGTACACAAGTAAGTAGGAACAGAAAAGGAACTATATAAAATAGAAATGAGATGTTCACTAGCGACTTGCCCTATTCAGGTAGGTAGTTACCTGGGGTCCTAGTGAGAAACCGTGACCACTAGGGTGCAGCAGGTCGGGTGTGAGGACAAATACTCACTGAGAACATTGGCCAGGGGTCCGTGAATTGGCAGAAGTTAGAATTCGTGGGCCATTGGATCGGGTCCCAGCGGTTTAATGGTCTACGAGCTAGCTCGCCTTGTAACCAGAAGATCCTGGGTTCGAATCCCGGTGGGTGCGTACTTCTGAAAAGTCCCAAACTAGGACGTGGGAAACAGCTATCCAGTGCTCCCAGATTTTCCAATGGTTCTCTAACTAATGTCAGCTCATAATGAAATCCTGTAACCAGTCAAATCCCTACAAACCAACACACTTGCAAATAGAAAAACATAAGTACAACGAATAGAATAATTCATTTAAGATGAATGAGCACTTTAACAATCCACAAGATGATAAGAAATAAGGATAACTGTGAAGTATTTCCATCCATGCCATTAACTTGAGCTAAACAAAAACAAAAACTGCACTCCCCACCTAATATAACAAGTAAAATGACTTTATGCAACAGTAACAAAGTCTAACTTTTCGCCCAGTGAATTTTAATTACACGTGGAACTCTAATAGCGAATCAAACAAAGACCTATCGCTTAATAAATGTGTCGAATAAAAATGCAGATAGAACAGACACACAACGAGGAGACCGCTGACTGACATCACCATCACCAAAGCATATCTTTAAGTGGAACTCGAAAGAGAAACGACGAAATGGATATGGGTCTGAGGGCGACATGGAGGAGATAGTGTGAGGATGAGATGATAGACTACGCGCGATTATGGGGTCAGCTAAAAACGATTCAGAGGACGGGATATATTGGAGGTGTGCTGTTGAAGCCTTATGTTCCACTCGGAATCCATGGAAATAATAATAACATAACTTGTCGAGGAAGTATGTAGAGAGCGGAAACACGATTTTATATAGTTTTCTATGTTAGAAGTAAAAAAAAATATTATTCTTTCTGATCAGAACATTGTGCATATCTCTCATTTGAAACAAATTTTTGCTTATTTTGTGGATGGTGACTAGCAGTGGAATCCAGGATAAAGCGAATTTCGTCCAATTTGGGACTCGTCATCTGGATGTACCTGCATTCCCCAGCGAGTGATAATATTCCCACCCAGACTCGAACCCAGTACCCATAGTTTCAAACGCCAAAGCGTTATCCACTAGACCACTGGGGCCACAAGAGCCACTGGGGCCACAAGAGCCACTGCCTCTTTTGCAACAGGTCATATTAATTATTTAATTAAATTTTAGATTTTCACGTCGATTGACTGGACCGAAGTGCTCGTGTCAGATTGACACGTCTGTTGGCTTCTTGTGCAGATGCTTCGATAGTGTTTGGGCATTTAATCAGAATTTAATTTGTGGATGGTGACTAGCAGTGGAATCGATGATGCGTATTTCGTCTTATCAGGGACTCGTCAGTTGGATATACCTGTATTTCCCAGTGAGTGATCCCCAGACATCGTCGAAGCATCTGCACAAGAAGCCGACATGTCAACCTGAGACCGAGCACTTCGGTTTAATCAATCGACGGGAAATTCTGAAAAATTCAATTAAACCTCTGTTTATCTCATCTGTATATCCTTGTACGCAAATATAAGCACGTATTCGGTTACACATTGAGTACTATTTCTCTGTGGCTGTCTGGCTGACAATATATTAAATGGAGGCACCTTCAGGAAACGTACAGGAAATCCCCATCCTTGTTCGAAAAAAAACCAACGACCAGACTGGCACATCTATATTGGAGAAGAATCTTCGAAATATACAAAGCGTGGACCTGTTGATTATTTATTTGTTATTTTGTTCCTTTACGTTCCCAGTGGAACATAGAGCTTCAAGCTAGAGCTCTGAAGTTTCGGTAGCAGTGGTGTTTATTTTTATGGAGTGGGGTTGCTGGCTCCACGGCCAACTTCCCCTATTTATCAGCCTTACTGCATGCTCATAGAGGTTCAGGAGTTTGTACGTTGGAGTGGTTGGCGAAAGTTTTGCTGCTGAATCGCCGACACAGTAACCTGTGGATTGCATTACTAAATTAATGCTCAGTGAACCAAAATGAACTTGCAAATAACTGTGTACTCTGATACTTTCTATTTATAGTAACTGTAATATAATATTTGAGTATCTTAAATTATTTTGGTCTAGTTTAATTTTATGTGGTGGTCCTGGAGAGTCAATAGGTAGGTCTACTATAACAGTGATTTGGCAAATTTAGCACACATTCGAGCCTCGCCTTGTTCGATGAAGCCCCGAAAGCTTTCAAACGGTTCATTTCAGTTAACTACTTGAAGTGTGTGTGGCTCTCCTGAACGTGAACAGTCGAACGACGAGATTGCTTAAACTAAACAATTCAACAGTTCCAACATGCCTGCAAAAAGAGACAAATGCTTGTTAAGCACGGAATCAAATTGGCGATTAACAATATGAGACTAGAATTCACCACGGTTTACTATGGATATAGTGGAGACGTGGCTCATTGGCTTAAGTAATCGACTTTCAGCAAGTAGGTCCTGGGTTCGAGCTCCACTCCAACTAATTCAACCTGGGAAACTAGGTAGTACCATGAGACCTAATATAATAAACGCAGCTCATTTCCTGGAAGATCGAAACCGGTCCTGAAAAATGCGTTCGAGTAACCCTAGGTATATTACCAGACTACTCAGTTAGGTAGTCAGAACTCAGACGGTTCCGAAGCTGATTTGGCTCACTAAGACGAGTCAATTCAGAAACACTCCAGATGAACTCAGCTCAGGAGACAGGTAAACAGACACACTTCCAACCCTAACCTCCCAGTGTTTGAATCTCTTCAATATACCTAGCAAGCACGACACATTGGTTGACATGAGTTGATTTCCCAGCAAAAATTACCTACACTTGAGTGTAAATCCTGGTGACCAAATAGTCTTAAATTCTTTAAAAAAACGTATCAGGTAAATGTTAAGTACAAAATAAAACCAGAGGACTTACTAAAAATTCTTTCATCTTTTCATTATAATCATTTTGATCCGGTAGACTGCCTGATGATGGTGAAGCTGATTCCACTAATTGACGTAATGGTCCAACAAGATCTGTATATGCTTCAGCCACTTGTGTAGTCAATATTTTCACTAACGTTTGCCATATATGAGCTAAACTACGACTGATGGCTAGTGCTAAATCTTGTTGAGCATTCTTGGTTTCTGGTGCTGATAAAATATGCAAAAAGGAAATATCATAATATTACATAATTTAGCATATGTGAGAAGATACACTGATAGTAAAAGAATCTTGAATTGTGAGGGGAAAAGAAACAATGAATGAAATATGGTAATTTAGTGTTCTTGTATTTGGCGAACGTTTCATTATATTTCTAGGTAGCATCGTCAGTGCTTATTTTCATAAAGAGTGTCTATCTATCATAAGGAGCATCTCAAACAAACTTCACACCTTCATTAACAGTTATCTTCGCTCAATACTCAAGATCAGATGGCCGACCAGAAAAGATCAGCAACAGGGATATCTAGCAATGAGCGAACCAACCCAGTGGGAACCGATTGTGAAACAAATAGGAAGGAACAAATGGAAATGGATTGGCCATACGCTGAGGAAACCATCAAGTGACGTCACCAGACAAGCCATTGCTCTAGTGGAACCCAATTGAAAGGGAAGCGGCGAGTTGGTCGTCAGTGCAAAGGTGACTTGGAGGAGGAGGTTATGTGAAGAGGAGATGAAATCATGTGGGCAGACTTGAGCGGGGTGAAAAATTTGGCAGAAAACCGAAGACAATGGAGACTTGGGCAGCTGAAGCCCTATGTTCCTCTAGGAATTAAAGGATATAATAATAATACTAGGAAATTCGGCCAGGTAATCTTCTGTCTGACTGGTTGTCACTAAAAAATTTCCTTATGATTGTATTAAATTGTATTGATACTAATCGTTCTGTTGATACGATATTTGACTTCGTGATCATATATTAAATTTGACAAATACATCCATAAGATAATAAGATGGTGAAGATAAATTGTGCAATTAGTCATAATAGTAGCAGTGATAATAATAACGGTTTTATCAATAATAAGGATGAAAAAGTGAGGCAATCTGTGATAACACGAATAACGAAAAATAGTATGATTAAAAAAACAAGTGTTCAGGTAGACGTGGTAGTCGATAAAGGCTAGTAAAAACAAATGAACTGATTAAGTAATGCTAGAGTGATTGTAAGGGAAGTAAATGAGACACGTTTTTAATGAAGATGTGATAAGATTAAGGGATTATAAGAAAGGGGTTGAAAATATAAAACAAGAGGTGGTGTAGAAGTCATTAGTTGGTTATGTCTTAATAGGCCAAGGGAGGGAGGGATAATGGCTGTGTACGAACTTCTTTTGAATGCATAGTTTAGGTTTAATAGTTCGAATGCCCATCGCCTGTCTCAGCTGTGTGTGTGTGCAGTAGACTAATTCGAAGTCTATTGGAAAGATTCGGTGGGATACGATGAATTACTTTGAAAGCTCTCGTTTTCCCCCACTACATGAACGCCACTATCAATTAAAAGTGATAAAATTGAGCTACGGATTGTTTTTGTCTGTCCTTTGCTAAGCTACCACAATGGAAGATGTTCACTAAAACGTTGGCTAAGTTGTTTAGTAGTACTTCCAGGAATTTCCTACAGGGATTTTCATAATTTCTGAGTTAAAATTGATGTCTATATTGGGTTGTTCATGAGAACAGATATGATTGGCTGTGTGTCATGTGATATATTAGAAAACATACCATCACTTAGTGTCTCTGTATCGTTTCACAATTGAAATAAGCAGTAATTTAAGCAATTAGTACTGACTAAAGCCTGTACTCACAGAACTGCGAAAGAACAAGAAGGACTGCAGCTTCAGTAATGCTGTGTGTGTGTGTGTAATCAAAATAACTCAAATTCATACGTGAAGCTAGTAACAATACACTTTGGCATACGCCTTTAATTGAATTTTAGATTTTCCCGTCGACTGACTGGATCGAAGTGCTCGGTGTCAAGTTGACATGTCTGTTGGCTTCTTGTGCAGATGCTTCGATGATGTTGGGCATTTACTTAATATTTAATTGGTGGATGATGACTAGCGGTGAAATCCAGGCTGTGCCATCAACCAACTAAATACTAATTAAATGCCCAGACATCGTTGAAGCATCTGCACAGGAAGCCAACAGACATGTCGACTTGACACCGAGCACTTCGGTCTAATCAATCGACGCGAAAATCTAAAATTCAATTAAATTAATATGACCCGTTGCATAAGAGGTGGCTCTCGTGACCCAAGTGGTCTAGTGGATAACGCTTTGGCGTTTGAAACTATGGACATTGGGTTCGAGCCTCGGTGGGAACATCATCAGTCACTGAGAAATGCAGGTACATTCAGATGACGAGTTTCAAATTGGACAAAATGCCTCCAAAGCCTCAGGATGGTCGGGGGTGGGTGCCTTGCGTTGCGGGTTGGCCACCTCTCCGCACACCTCCTGAAATGCTCCCATATGACCGGGCGTCTTGCATAGCCTCTCCTGAGGAAGTCCTACTCACTGCCTTCACGTGGCGGAGGTGTTTCTCACCAAAGTGAGAGGGCAAAAGCGGATGCCCGGCGCTCTCCACCGGGTTGACTGTCCATTGGATGACAGTCTAGGGGAGATGGCTAAACCCTGATTCCAAACCTCCAACGACTGGCGTATGAAGCTCACTGGAGCTCACCGGCAGACGTATGGACAAAGGGCTTGTTGGATGTCCTGGATGTCTGGCCCCATTCAAAAAGGCGTATGAACCGAACTCCGGTCACCGGCTGCCAATGGATAGTGGACTCCTTACTCCACTCCTACTGCCTTGTAGGTCACACTTGGCTGTGTAAAGGCTAGAGCTGCACTCTCAAACAAAAGGCCGAGCGATGCTGGGGACATCACTCGTACCTAATTCCCATGAAACTTCATGAACTCTCTTACAAATTGCCGCGCCTGGGCAGCGATGATTCGAGACGTTCATGAAGCCGGCTCATCCTCCCGTAGGAGATAGCCGAAGTAAAGTAAAGTAAGTAAATGCGCGTTATCCTGGATTCTACTGCTAGTCACCATCCACCAATTAAATACTAATTTGGTAGTACAATTAGATAATGTCAGTTGAACAGGAACAACCAAACGAAATAGAGTAGTGAATCAGGCCATCATGTGTACCAGCATATTAGATTAATAACCAAATACACAAGCTCAAATGACTCATTGTTTCACAAAAAACACATTAGCCAACCTGTGAATATAAAAATATTTACAAATCAGTAGAAATATCACTTATCTAGTGAAGATATTCACCACATAAGAGTAAATCAGATGAACTATTATTGCACAAAGTGTTGTCTACAGGTTTTCCGTGAGTTTTTAATCGATACTTTATTTACCTCATATATATAAAGCATTTCCAGCTGTCTTCGCTGTTTCGATTATGAAGATCATACAATACGATGGAGAAGATTTTTAGCTTAGGTGGATGATTTTGATGAAGTTGTGTTCTCTGAGCTGGATGGTTTATATGCGATGCTTTCATTGCTCTAGCGGGCAACATCTTCAGCGCATACTTCAATTTGAAGTATGAAGATCATACGGCTAACCAGAAGGAATTAGCCACCATAAACTCAGGGAACAAGCCAACCGAGAACCTAGCACCCAAGAAAAACACCGAAGAAAGTAGAGATGGATCGGAAACACACTGAGGAGGCTGTTGTTAGGTGACACCAGATTCTCGAATGGAACCGGAATAGGGAACGACAAGTTGGGCGTCCGCTAGTGACATAGAAAAGATGGTATGACGAGGACAGGAGGGCGGCATATGGGTAATCCTGGATCTTTTCATAAACGACTGCAGAGAGCTGAGTAAAAATGGAGAAATGCTGTGGAAGCGTTATGTTCCGCTAGAACTGACTGATGAGTTTCAACATAGAACTTTCACAGATGTGTACCAGTTCGAGTCGCCACACTCCCTCCATGTAGTACACAAAGCAGTAGAAGAGATGAAAGAGAAGTTTAATGGAAGGATAATAAAAAGAAATGTGAGGCAAAAAAGAATGGTAACATGAAGGGCAATAGAGTTTGATTGGATATGATAAATCAAAAAGAGTGAATGCATCTACGACAGCTATTGAGAACGATTTTGAGCCATATCACCAATTGTCTCCAGCTTCCATTGGTTTTAACCATCCCGGGGAACCCAACCAGGAAGTCTACACCTTCCTAGGTGGCTGGCTTAAACTAACTGTTATTATTTTCTTGGCTGATGAAACCATGTTTTGGTTTGACCACCAGTGACTCTTTTCCAACCTGATGCATCCTGTCAGTTAGTATTGCCCGTCAGTCGAGGGAGGTGATGCCGAGGCATTCGTAACACATGTCCCAAACGATCTCAACTGGTGTAACTTTACAACCTCGTCGATTCATTTCCCCTCCGACTCGCAACCCCAATGTCATTCAACCTATTATACCATATAACATAGGAGATAGAACGCAGACAACTATGATCAAAGACAGCTAGCCTTTGCATATCTTCCACTTTCAATGACCATGTTTCACAGCCATATAGAAGGATGGAGCGGACTTTTGCTCAGTACACACGTCTTTTGATCCAGAACCAGATGGATATCAAGTCTATGCCAGAGATGGCAAAAGTTTGGTAATTGGCACACAAGCCTTTCCGTACTGAAATTTCGTCAGCGATCAACCTGCTGGTGTTGGCTGATGCAACTTCCTAAATAAGTGAAGTGGTTTACATGATCAACCACTTTACTCCCTATCTTTAAGCTAAGAGTTAATCGATGTAGTCCAGTCCTGTAGCATCATCTTACATTTGATGGGAGCAAATCACATGCCAAACATTCACAGCTTCTTGCCACTCAAGGTGTTCAGAGGACTCTGCATTATGTCAGCGTTCTCACCTAGAAGGACTATATTATCTGCAAATGCTAAGTCAACGAGATTAATCTCTGATGATAACAAGACAATCCCTGAGTCATTGAAGTCAGGTCATTCAGGATTAAGTCCATTATTACATCTATGATGAAATTAAATAGAAATGAGGACAGTGGACAGGCCATTTTACTTCTTCCTCAAAAATGTTCTGCTAGGAAACCAAGGCACTCTACTCGAACTCATGCAGCCACGTTGACCGTTTCACTTAGGAACTACCATCAAC